AAAAGAAAAAGGCATTAATATCTGCACATGGTTGTGAAAAATTTACCATAAATATCTTTGAAAAATTCACTCAAAGCCTCACTGCTATGGACTGAGGAGAAGCAGTGAGTCTTCTGTTACAATGAAGACAGATTTGCAACATAGTTCGAATTTCATAGCATGGCTGTTTAGACATTTGTGAATATAAGGTAAGGAGTTTTAAATTCTTCAGAACAGTAAGTGGGACTTTAATAAAAATCAGTAATATGAAAATCCAGGAGGAAAAATCTATAAAACTTCTAAATCACCATGGTTAAGAAAATGAGAATAGAGTGAATAAAAAACTGTAATATACCTGTAATACAGCTTTCTGCTCCTCTCCACATGTACCAAAGATTTCACCACGGTGACTGAAGAGTTCATCCATAGAGTCTTTGTGTCGAATTATGTCAATGGAGAAAGCCTTTGAAAAGTACACTATAGTTAAGTCAAGAAGCAAAAGTCTCAGCATCCTAGGAGGCTGAAGCAGGAGGATCCCAAGTTTAAGCCCAACCTGAGCAATTTAGTAAAAGCCTATCTCAATATAAAAAATAAAAAGGGTTAGGAGTATAGCTCAGTGTGAAGGCCCAGCACAACCAAAACAAAACTCCATGAACAAAAAACCTTGAGCCTCTGTATGTGAAAAATAAAATGCAAACTATGAAAAATTATTTGCTTCAAAGACATTAACAAAAAAAACCAAAAAACGTCCCGAGGCAGGCATGGCAGAACACTTGTAATCTCAACAGTCTGGGAAGCTGAGAGAGGAGGATTTTGAGGTTGAGCCCACTCCGGACAATTTAGCAAGAGCCTGTCTCAAAAAATAAAAAAGGGCTGGGGATGCAGCTCATGGGCAGGCCCTGGGTTTAATACTCAGTACTGAAAAAACAACAACAACAAAAAAACGATAGTTTGCCTAGCCAACATCTTTAATGCTTTTTTTGGAGGTAACAAAAACATCTTCCTTCCCATAGTACCAGGAAATTGCTAACTATTCTTTCCTGGACTGCAAAAAAATAAATCATTCTTCTTTCCTGGACTGATAGGCCTATTTTTCACAAAGAAACAACCAAAAAACCAAAAAACCAACCCCCCCACAAAACAACAATAAACCTTTTCCTCACTTTGAACAAGTACACATAAAATTAATTTCTACCTACATCATTCTACTTGGCTTGACCTAGGACAGTCTGAAACTCTCTCCTACTCACTCTAGGCTACTGGCCATTGTCCTGGCTCAGCTCACAGTGGGCACCTGCCATTGTACTTACCTTTTGCACTTGCAGCTGAGCTGTGGTCTGGTCCTGTTCAAGTCGAATTGGACCCAGAGCCATCAGCTTCCGTTTTGTTTCAGCAACCCAAGCTAGTTCTGCATCGGCAGCTTGTTCATACTAATAGACATTGTAGGAAAACAAGTAAGTTACACATAGCCGAAGTTACATACAGCCAAGTCTGCTTCATAGAACTATAACTTATCTAACATATAAAGTCCTAGATTTTCAGAAATATAGTTTGTATCTCACAAAGTAGAGCCAAATGTGAGAAAAATTTCATAAATCACAAATCAAGATATATACAAATTAGAACTGGTCATCCTTTAATTTCTTTAAAAGAAGTTAATGGAACTCAGCTAGTCGTCCTCTACCTAGAAACAACAGAAAATAGCACCCTTCAAAAGAAATATTCTTCTAATCAGTAATTTTATGAGGCTGCATTCTTTCTGCCAATCCTTTTTCTTACCCAGACATTGAACAGTTTTAGTGAGATGTTTAGATAAAAATTAAAAGGACAGTAAGCAGCTTTGTAAAGTTAACTTGGAAGTAAGTACTTGCTCAGCTAAAAGAAGCACAGAACCCTGAGAATGCCTAACATTTCATGACTATGCAGCTGGGCATGGTGGCATATCCCTGAATCCCAGTGCTCTGGAGGCTGAGGGAGGAGGAGGATCTCAAGTTGGAGGCCAGCCTGGGCTACATAGTGAACAAGGTCAGCTTGAACTACACAGCAAGACCCGGTCTCAAGGAAAAACAAAAATAAAAACCTTCCCAAAACCATGTAACAGCACAAATGAAGAACATGTTCTACATCACTACTGATCATGAGTAGCACCAAGCTTTTATTTCCTCTTCAACTTTGCTATCTCATGCTAATATAGGTTGAGAATCTCTTACTAGAAATGCTTGGGACCAGAAATGTTTGAGATTTTAGTGTTTTTTGGATTTTGGAGTATTTGTATAGACAGCTCTACTGGTTGAATTTTTCAAGTGTGAAATACTAGATTTTCAGATCAGGGATGTTCAATGTATGTTTAAAAAGAAACGTTAAGTTTCGCTCAAACACAGTAAGCTGTATACTGAAATATCTGGCTAAAATTAAGGATAACCCTAAAGACACTGTGAATGTACTTCAGAAAAAAAATTTCTACATGGTTCAGAAAGCATGTGCATTTCACTATGAACCCAGGTAGTCTTGTTGTGTCTGTGTATATGCACTATGGCCCATTTACTGGTACACAGCCAACTACAGAGAAAGGCAAGTAACTTCTTCCCAGAAAGCAGGAAGAAAAAATGATCAACGGAAATATGACACCTGTGTTTACTCAGAGGGTTCTATTTTGGATAGCTCTGCTATTTTGGTTTGCCTATTTGATAGTAATTATAGTTCTTGGTTCTTTCCCTTTTGACATCTACTGCTAACATAGTTGATTATGTCAAACCAAGACAGCAATGCATTTGGGCAGTCCGGGTCTACATGCTATCAATTTCTTATCACCATCAGCCTGATCACTAAGAAAAGGCCTCATAGAGGCTCTAAGTTTTTCTCTATGCGAAGGGGTCAGAAGTGCTTCGGATCAAACTTGGACCCATCCTCAAAAGCTCTACCCACAAGCTCATTTCCCATCAGTGAAATATGTTCGTTGCATCATATTTACCCTAATCTCATTATTCATAGTACCGAATTTCATACATCTATCCTGACTGCCTAAAATATTAATGCAAGGGAGTTATACACATTACCTGTTGTGATCTCTGAATAGCAGCATCGATTTCATCCACTCTTTGTCCAACAGTGTCACTGATCAGTTTGTATTGCTCGTTGGCATCTGACACAAGTTTATCCAGCCCTTCTCTGGCTCTCCAGGGCACCAGTTCTAAGAGGGCACGGCTCACCTCATTCACTGTGTCCAACACCAGTCTGTGCTCCATGACCTCTTTCTTTAATTCCTAAGGAAGGAAAAAAATTTTCAGGCCATATCTTGCTAAATAAAGCACATCAGCAACTGTGTTGGGTGGAAAGTGCTATCTCTTCCACACATCCCAGCAGGGCACTGACCTCCTTCTTTCAGTTATTTTTTTCTTGTCTCAGATTTTTCAGTCATTCTGAAACCTGACTTGGGCTTAGCTGCTGCTTACTTAGGACTCAGACTCTCTCTGGGTAAAACAAATAGTGCTCCTTTCTTTTCTTCTTACTTTAATAGAAGCAATAAACAATCCTTTAATCACAGGCATTTGACTTAAATACCTGCACAGTATTTCAGTGCTTCTAGAATCCTGTAGGAGAATCAAATATAACCATGAAGTACTCTTGAGAGAATGAGTGGTGAAGGTGAACTATAAAACGTTACATTATGAAGTAAACCTCCTAGGGACTCAAGACTCAATTTCTTCTTCAGACCACAGTAAGCGCTCTTACATTACATGTCTTTAAATCTTACTGTCCATAAGAAAGTAAGAGGAGGCAGACAGAAGTTTTTGGTTTAGATGTTAAGGTAAGGTTGACGAAAAAGGATTCTGACAAACTTTTCATCCCTTTTACCATGTGAAATACTAGCTCACCTTCTGTCTTTGCTGAAACTGGGGTATCTGCTCCCCCGTGGGAGACTGTCCTCCACTGGCTGCCAGCTCCTCCTCCACCTCTCTCATCCATCCAGTCAGTTCCTCATATGTGGACTGGAATTTGGTGGCCAGTTGCCGGGCCTGCTCTAAAGTTCTGAGAGCCTTAGAGCTGGTGACAGTGATGTCCACATAGCGCGTCTTTATTCCATCCAGTTTCTCCTGGATAAGCAATACCTCTTCACCTGTGCAGAATAGCACACAATTATTCACATTTAGGAGATCTGGGGATGAGGTTGTCCCTTTAATCACCCACCTTCAAATTAGAGCATAAATTTTATAGATACTCTTTCCCTTTGGTAGTGATTTCACCTAACATGCCGAGCTAAGGTTAAATTGAAAATAAACCTTCCAGCTGATAAAAGAAGTCACTTCTGAGATTGGGATCTAAGTTCAGCTGCAGGGGTTTTTACATGTTCTCAGCACCTCACACTGAATGCTGACATGTGACACACTGGCAGGTAGGGGGAAGCATCATCTCCAACCAGATGTGAGACAAAAGTCTTGTAGTTTTCTTTTTTTTTCTTTTAAGTCTTGTCGTTTTCAAGGAACATAGGTCATTAGCATCCCTGGAGCACTTGGTAATACAATAAGTGTGTAGCAAGCTTCTCATATATACAAACAGAAATAGCTGCTGCAGGGTGTTTATTTCCCTGGATATGTGACTGTGTTTGAGAGCAGAGAGGTGCTAAGACATGCACCTTCCAAAGTACCTGTGGTTTGTTTTAGAAGAGCCTGACCATTTTTAATAGCTTGATCTACATTCTTCTTTCTATTAACAATCTCTTCATTTAAAGCCTGAAAAGAAAGAATATCATTAATTCCAAAACTATGGCAAAACAAGATAAAGAAATGTGAGATCTTTCAGAGACCAAATTTAAAATAAAGTGATGAGTACCAGCTTAGTTTAAGGTATTGATTCCCTTATTATCTCTTTGGTTATCCCACTGATTGTCCAAAATAATTAAATCATAGATTAGAGGTAAGCTTTCTTTTGTGCTGAATGAGAAATGATTTAGGATTAAATCACCAATATATTGGTACCAAACCTAAACCAAGTAAAGCAGAAGTGAAATTTGGAAAAAAGTCTACTGAGTCTAAAGTAAAGAATAAGACAAAATGTTCAAGAAGTAAGAACAAGTTGACTTAAATCAGGATCCTGGGTAAAAATTCTGCATATTTCAAGCTGATGAAGTAAAACAATTTTGCCTTACTTTAAAAAGTTGCTTTGCCTATTTTTACCATCTTCAAAGAGACTTCATAAAGATAAACTAAAACAGGCACACTTTTTTTTTTTTAATTAAGATGACACAGAATCCCTATAATTTGAGTATATAATTTCCAGAAATAGTCTAAAAATTGTAACTACATGATCAAATCGTGGCTGCTGTTTAGATAATATCGGTTTTGTTAAAGTATATCCTTTCATAAATCTGCACAAATGGAAACCTAGTGCTGCATTACCTAATGACGTAAATTATGACTTGAGATGGGCCAGAACTATACCCTGAACCATCTTCTAGACTTATTCACTCAGTCAGTTTGTGAAACACAAATACTTTCATGCGGGCCCTTCAAAAAAGATCAGTGCTGAGCACTAAGTAAATACACTGTATCCTTCTGTATAAAATAAAGTTGAAGCATTTGGAATGCAGGAAAAAAAAAGAAAAAAAAAATGAAGAGAAACACAAATCAAAATGACAAAGTAACTCAGGAACATAACCAATGAGAATGGAAAACACAAATACCAGGTGATCAGCATGCTGTTTCTGCAGGACATCCTGTCTGTAATCCTTTACGAACACTGAACTGAGCTTGTCCTCAGCCTCAGCCAGCCAGTTGAGCACTTCCACCTCATCCTCCCCAAACAGTCTAGCATTGCACAGTGCTTGTTCAAGCAGGGCTGCCTTCCGACAGCACCGGTCTTGAATTTCACTGTACCGGGCCTGCAACAAGTCTAGCTTTTCTGACAGTACGCCCTGTTCTGCAGGACAGGTCAGGGAGGACAGCGACTGCCCAATGTTCACTGCCTGGTGCACATCTGCTGCATGGTTTTCTATTTCTTCCTCCAGAGCCTAGAAATCCAGATGGAAAAAATGAATACCAGGAACAAAACAAATGAAAGGCAAACATGAAGCAATGAATAACAAATGATATAATAAAATAAATACTAAAAAAACCACCTACTGAGGGGCAGAAATAATATTAATTTCTGCTTTTACTTTAAGGATGTAGCTTTTCTAATTAAAAATTTAACCATATTTTATGTTAAAACAATGCTGCAGGCATTTTTAAAAAAATTCCTAGGACTTCTACCTCTTATTCTATGCTTTCATTTATAGTAACTCCTTCCTACCTTATGCCGAATGATCTGCTGCTGTATTTTGGCAGTTTGAGTGCCAACAGGTTCTGAGTTAGCAAGCTTTTTCTCTGTGACAGATAAGAAGTCAGAAATAGGCTCAGCTGTTTCGTGGAATTGTTTGGCCAGAACCAGGATATCTTCCAGCTGTTTTTGCCTACACAAATATAGAGACAGAAAGAACATTAAGACTCAGTATTAAATTCAGTAAAAGGATAATCTTTATCAGGTATTGTTTATTTATTTTTGTTTTGTTTTGTTTTGTTTTTTGGTTTTTTGGTTTTTCTCCGGTACCGGG